AGATACAATACTTTGGTATGCTCTAGTCTCATTCTGACCACAGAAAACTATCATTGTATCAAACAATCTACTAGCTAGTTAGACGCGATAGTTTGGTATGCTCTAGTCTCATTCTGACCACAGCAAACTATCATTGTACCAAACAATCTGCTACCTAGTTAGATACGATGGTTTGGTATGCTCTAGTCTCATTCTGACTACAGAAAACTATCATTGTACCAAGCTGTCTGCTAGCTAGTTAGATACAATAGTTTGATATGCTCTAGTCTCATTCTGACCACAGCAAACTATCATTGTACCAAACAATCTGCTACCTAGTTAGATACGATGGTTTGGTATGCTCTAGTCTCATTCTGACTACAGAAAACTGTCATTGTACCAAACAATCTGCTACCTAGTTAGATACGATGGTTTGGTATGCTCTAGTCTCATTCTGACCACAGCAAACTATCATTGTAACAAACAATCAGCTAGCTAGTTAGATACGATGGTTTGGTATGCTCTAGTCTCATTCTGACCAAAGAAAACTATCATTGTACCAAACAATCTGCTACCTAGTTAGATACGATGGTTTGGTATGCTCTAGTCTCATTCTGACCACAGAAAACTATCATTGTACCAAACAATCTGCTACCTAGTTAGATACGATGGTTTGGTATGCTCTAGTCTCATTCTGACCTACAGAAAACTATCATTGTACCAAACAATCTGCTAGCTAGTTAGATACGATGGTTTGGTATGCTCTAGTCTCATTCTGACCACAGAAAACTGTCACTGTACCAAACTATCTACTAGCTAGTTAGACACGATAGTTTGGTATGATCTAGTCTCATTCTGACTGCAGAAAACTGTCACTGTACCAAACTATCTACTAGCTAGTTAGACACGATAGTTTGGTATGATCTAGTCTCATTCTGACCAAAGAAAACTGTCATTATACCAAACAATCTACTAGCTAGTTAGACACGATGGTTTGGTATGCTCTAGTCTCATTCTGACTACAGAAAACTGTCATTGTACCAAACAATCTGCTAGCTAGTTAGATACGATGGTTTGGTATGATCTAGTCTCATTCTGACTACAGAAAACTATCATTGTATCAAACAATCTACTCGCTAGTTGGACACGATAGTTTGGTATGCTCTAGTCTCATTCTGACCACAGCAAACTATCATTGTACCAAACAATCTGCTAGCTAGTTAGATACGATGGTTTGGTATGCTCTAGTCTCATTCTGACTACAGAAAACTATCATTGTATCAAACAATCTACTAGCTAGTTTGACACGATAGTTTGGTATGCTCTAGTCTCATTCTGACCACAGCAAACTATCATTGTACCAAACAATCTGCTACCTAGTTAGATACGATGGTTTGGTATGCTCTAGTCTCATTCTGACTACAGAAAACTATCATTGTACCAAGCTGTCTGCTAGCTAGTTAGATACAATAGTTTGATATGCTCTAGTCTCATTCTGACCACAGCAAACTATCATTGTACCAAACAATCTGCTACCTAGTTAGATACGATGGTTTGGTATGCTCTAGTCTCATTCTGACTACAGAAAACTGTCATTGTACCAAACAATCTGCTACCTAGTTAGATACGATGGTTTGGTATGCTCTAGTCTCATTCTGACCACAGCAAACTATCATTGTACCAAACAATCAGCTAGCTAGTTAGATACGATGGTTTGGTATGCTCTAGTCTCATTCTGACCAAAGAAAACTATCATTGTACCAAACAATCTGCTACCTAGTTAGATACGATGGTTTGGTATGCTCTAGTCTCATTCTGACCAAAGAAAACTATCATTGTACCAAACAATCTGCTAGCTAGTTAGATACGATGGTTTGGTATGCTCTAGTCTCATTCTGACTACAGAAAACTATCATTGTACCAAGCAGTCTGCTAGCTAGTTAGATACAATAGTTTGGTATGCTCTAGTCTCATTCTGACTACAGAAAACTATCAT